ATATTCCATCGTATAAGTGTACCACCTCCTCTTTATCCATTCATCCACTGATGGACCCCCAGGCTGCCTCCACATCTTGGCCATTGTAAATAATGCTGCAATGAACATATGGAAGCACATGTCTCTATGAAGTAGTATTTTGGGTTTCTTCAGATAAATACCCAGAGGTGGTGTTATTGGGTCCTTCTTTGTCTCTTGTTATAGCTTTTGTTTTAAATTCTATTTGTCTGGTATAAGGATTGTTACCACAGCTTTTGTTTTGTCTTGTTTCCATTTTCATGAACTATCTTTTCCAGTCCCTGTACTTTCAGTCTGTGTGTTTCAATCTGATTCAAATTCAATCTGAAGTGAATCTCCTGTAGGCAGCATATGTAAGGGTCTTGTTTTCTTATCCATTCAGCCATCTTATGGTTTGTTTGTTTTTTAAAGATTTTTTTATTGGGGAATTGGAACAGCACTGGGGAATTGGGGGAAGGGGAACAGAAGACAAGTTGCTGTCCTTTTGTTCTTCAGTCTAGTTATGGAGGACGTTGCTTCACTGGCCCAAGTTGGCACCATCATTGTGCTCTTCCCGGGCAAGGCAGATCAGTTGCTGGCTTCTGTACAGCTGCTCACGGCAGCTGCTGGACATTCACGCTGGCTACACACGGTAGCCCATGGCAACCCACTGCAGCAGGGGCTGCAGCCTATGCCATCGCCAGGCAACTCACGGCAGCCCAGCTCCAGGTTGAGCTGTTGTTCAGCATCTTAGCTGAAGAGGGCAGTGTCACTGGCCCTCATATGTGGGATCCGAACCGGGGCCCTCTGGCATCCCAAGCCAGCTCTTAACCAATGCACCACTCAGCCGGCCCCATCTTATGGCTTTTGATTGGACCATTTAATTAATTTACACTTAAAGTAATTGTTGATAGGTATGTAATTATTTCCATTTTATTATTCATATTTTTTAATCTTTTTTCTTCTTCTTCTTCTTCTTAAAAAAGTCCCTCTATAATTTCTTGTAATACTGGTTTGGTGGTGATGAACTCCTTTAGCTTTTTCTTGTCTGGAAAGTTCTTCATCTGTCCTTCGATTATAAATGATAGCTTTGCTAGGTAGAGTAATCTTGGTCATATGTCTTTGCTTTTCATCACTTTGAACATTTTGTGCCAATCCCTTCTGGCCGACAAAGTTTCTGTTGAGAAATTAGCTGACAGTCTTATGGGAGCTCCATTTTGGGTAACTAACTGCTTTTCTCTTGCTGCTTTTAAGATTCTTTCTTTGTCTTTAACCTACAGCATTTTAATTATGATGTCTTCATGTGGGCCTCTTTGAGTTCATCTTGTTTGGGACTCTCTGCATTTCCTGAGCTGGTATGTCTATTTCCTTCACCAGATTAAAGAAGAGTCGCTCATTATTTCTTCAAATAGGTTTTCAATTCCTTGTTCTCACTCTTCTCCTTCTGGTACCCCAATGATGAGAATGTTGGTATGCTAGATGTTGTCCCAGAGACCCCTTAAATGTCCTTATTTTTTTTATTCTTTTTTCTTTTTGCTGTTCTGATTAGTTGTTTACTGCTACCTTATCTTCCAAATTGCTGATTCGAAACTCTGCTTCATCTAATCCAGCGGTTCTCAACCTTTCACAGGGATCACCTAAGACCATCGGAAAACACATATTTTCGATGGTCTTAGGAACTGAGACACCGCTCCTCTATCCGTCTCCAGGCCCACATGCAGATACGCCCACATTCGAGTACCCGGCGACCCGTGAAAGGGTCGTTCGACCCCCCCAAGGGGTTGTGACCCACAGGTTGAGAACCGCTGATCTAACCTGTTGATTCCCTCTACTATATTCTTTCAGTTATTCTATTCCTCATTTCTGACTGGTTCTTTTTTATGTTTTCTATCTCCTTTTTTATGTTTCCTATATCTTTGTTAAAGTTCTCGCTACATTCATCTACTCTTCCCCAGTGTTCGCTGAGCATCCTTATACCAGTGTTTTCAACTCTGAGTCTGGTAGATTGCTTATCTCCACTTTGTTTAGTTCTTTTTCTGAAGCTTTGTTCTTTTATTTGAGACATGTTTTTTAATGTCTCCACTTTGGCTGTCTTCTTGTGTTTGTTTCTATGTATTAGTTAGGCTGCTATCTCCCAGTCTTCGTAGAGTGACCTTATGTAGCTGTCCCAGTGGCACAGTCTCCCCAGTCACCTGAGCCAGGCATTCCAGGTGTGTCCCTTGTGTGGGTTGTGCATGCCCTCCTGTTGTAGTTGAGCCTTGGTTGCTGTTTGCATGTCAATGGGAGGGACTGACCCTCTGGCAGATTTGTTGTGAGGACTGGCCGGACTATAGTGGAGGAGCTATTGTGCAGGGGCTGACCTCATGGAGCAAGGTTCACTATAGCATGGTCTGGTGCCTGCCAAGTCAGCCCTTTGGGTGTGTTGCCCATGGAGGCAGCTGGGTGGTGCATCTGCCTGGGTGGTACAGAGCCTGCCACCTCATGTATGGGCCCCAGGGCCTCATGGGAGGAGCCCTGCCATAGGCCAAGTTCAGCCTGTGCCCTCCAGGGCCACTTGGCATGAGCCACAAAGCAATCCACAGATGGCAGCCACCACGCTGGGCTTGGAGATACCTGGGAAAGGTTAAGCTGCAGACTAGCTGTTGCTAGTGCTGGGCTTGGGGCTTCTCAGCACGAGGTAGATGGCACACAGGGGCCAGATGCTGCTTGTTTGGGTTTTGTGAACCTTTGAGAGATTTTAAGGAAGTCCACATAATGAGCCAAAACCGGCCATTGGTATGGTAAAGCTACTGGAAGTGGCTTGAGTGGGCCCACAGGTTGGGTCTGGTGGGGTCTCAGGGAATCACTAGGGCCAGGTGAACAATATCAGCTAAGTTGATGGAGACTCAGACATGGTGTTCACCTAAGTCTGCACGCTGGCTATGGAGGGCTCAACAAAGGAACAATGCCTTCTGCCAGCACTTCTGTCTGGAAGAAAGCTGTCCCTCTATCCCTTTCCCTGAAGCCAGATAATTCAGTTCCTCCTTGTATGTCCCTGACACTTTTCAAGCTGGTGCCCCAGTGCTCGAGCTCAGAGCATGTAAGTCCATGCATGGGCCCTTTAAGAGAAATACCTGGGACTCCAGCAGCCCTCCATCTCACTCAGCCACAATCTCTACTGGTTTTCACAGCCAAAAGCTGGAGGGACTTCCCTTCCTGACACTAGAGCCCCAGCTGGGAAGCCTGGTATGGAGCTGGGAACCCTCACTCATCTGCAGGGGAACTCCACAGCAGAAATATCCCTCCCAATTTTACCGCCTCATGTGGGTGTGGGAAAGCCCAGTTCCACATCTCCTATTTAAATCTTCTATTTTAGCAGGTGGTCAGCCTGTTTAGATTCAGAATCCTAGGCTTACTTCTGTGGGATGTGATTCAAATGTCAATTTAGTTTATAATGTCTTTCCAGCACTCTTCTGGTTTTCCCCATTATGTGTTACCTAGATGACAGAGCTCCACTCCACTTTATCTTCAGTGTGTACTTGGGTAGGGAGAATGCCTGCCTCATTTCAGCAGGGCAAGGATGGAAAGTAGGGTTCTGTCCATAGGATGTACTAGAGAGGGGCACTGGCTCATTAATGGTGGGGCAGGGAGTGAAAGTCCAAGTCCTGTCCACAGGCTCAGTTGGGGAGGGCACCACCTTATTACTACTGGGGGAGTAGAAATCAACAGCTCCAACCACAGGCTCCTTTGCAAAGGTATGCTTCTTCCTTACTTTAGAGCAACGGAGGAAGTCAGAGTTTTGCCTGCAAAAGTCTACAAGGTAAGGGCACCACCTTGTTAATGCTGGACAGTTGTGAAAGCCAGCATCTCACCCACAGGCTTTGCTGGGGAGAGGTGCTACCTTGCAATTGCCGGTGGGGTGGAAATCCTCCCTACAGGTTCCACTAAAGAGGGTCATTGCTTCATTGCTGTAGTGGAAGGGATAGAAGTCAGAATTCAGCCCACAGGCTCCACTGGATAAGCAAATTTTGTTAGTGCAAGTGGGAGAAAGGGTGTGGTGTAAGACAGAGCTCTAGCCATGGATTCTGTTGCTACAATGCCTGTTGGGGTAGAAGGGAGGCATGCAGCTTTTTTGTGATGTTCTCGTGGAGAATAGGCAGGGTAGGTTAAAAGGTTTCTGTCTTACTGGACTACCCTTTGGCTAGCGAGAACTGGCTTTTCTTGGTGCTATTTTTTTTTTGTCTGCACCCTTTAGCATTTCCAGGCTGTGGGCTTCTGGAGAGCCCAGGTTCGAATATATAGAAGGCAAGAAAGAAACAATAAAGAGCTCACTCAATCCTTGAGTCCCAAGATACCTAGTCAGCCCACCTTCTTTTCCCTATTTCCAGAGTTTTCTGGTAGGTGATTTATAGGTTTTGTCCAAGATTTCTGTTGTGATTAGTAGGAGGAATAAAATCGAATGGGCTTATTCCATCTTGTTCAGAACCCAAACCCTGTCACTTATTTTTAGTCAAGATCTTGTGTGTATTATCCCTAAGTTTCCAGAGGATATAGACTGGGTTTTTATTAACCTTTTTATTAATTGTTGGCCTGGCAGAATGTGTCATATATGACATATCCTTTAAGCTTAGTTGCTGTAAGAAACGGTTAATATGATTTCTTAGCCTTTACCACCATCAGGTTCATAATGAAACTCTCGAATTTCTTCATTCATTCAGTAAACATCTATCTTATGAAAGCTTCTGGGGGTACATCAATAAGCAAGATAGCTAAAATCCCTAGTGTTATGGACCTTACATTTTACTAAGATAAGGTGGAGGGACTGCAGGCATATGAATAACGTCTTCTCTTCAGTTTAAACAAAACTCAATCTACTATGTTTCAGTTAGTATTAGGAACATATATTTTTTTAAAATGCTAATATTCAGAAATCTAAAAATTTGCAATTGGCATAGGTAAGGTAATTTTTCCACTTGGTATAAGGGCTCTTGAATGATCCAATAAACTAATCAGCACCTACTTACCACATAGAGCTGTTTCCACAGGCTGGCCCATTCTTGCAGAGTTGCTGTCACCTCAGTCACGATAGAGTCTTCAAGCGGGACCACAGTTTCATACTGCCTAGAACCACAACAAACAGCAACATTATCTTCAATAAACACCAGCATACTATCTACTGCCCTTCGCAACATGTGCAACTCAAATTTTAAATTCATGCAAATATAAAGAGAGGTATATCTAACTGACTGAAAACCCTTTGCAGTAATACACTGTAATAGTGCAATTGAACTCAATTAATGTAAAAACATTTGGGTTCTGCTATACATATTTTCTTAGAAACTATTGTTAATCAAGGAGTTCTGAATCAGATAGAATTCTGATCCTGGAAACAGAAACATACTGGGTTTCTTTCATCTTACCTTGTAAACAGCATTATAGTGTCAGTCCCTGTACTAACTGCCAAGAATTGATCAGTGAACAAAAATGGACAGGGTCCCTATCTTCAGGGAGCTCTTGTTCTAGGTAAGGATTCAGACAGACAAATAAGCACAACAGATATGAACAGTGATGAACCTAAGAAGGAAATTAAAGTGTATAATCAGAGATTTTAGATGGGGGACATGATTTAAGAAGAGAGGATCAGTGAAGTTTTCTCTGAAGAAGTGGCAAAGCCCAAAAGATACAAAAAGGTCATGAAAGGAAAAGTGTGTGGGGAGGAAGAGAATTAGATGGTGTCACTTGCAGAGGGAACAGTATACAAGAAGTCACATCACAGTGAATTTCACATATCAAAGTACTTAAAGAAGGTTGGTATGGCTGAGGCCAGCTTTCACAGGGCCTTTTCAAAAGATACTAAAGATTCCAGATCTTAAAACAAGTAATATCAATGAGAAGTTATTGAAATGTTGTTCATGTAACTCTCTGTATGTCTCCTTTTATTCTAATGTATAAACTAATGTGCCCAACTGCTATTCTCCAGAGCATTTTTTCAATCCACTGAGATTTTGCTTTCCAGCAATTGTCATCAAATAAACTCATATTCTCTATAGGTTTGAACATTTCTTACATTAACATTTTCATGTTATTAATTAGCGTCCTTTCATTTCAGCTTGAAGAGCACCCTTTAGCATTGCTTGTAAAGCAGGTCTAGTGGTGATGAACGCTCTCAGCTTCTGTTTTTCTGGGAAAGTCTTTATTTCTTCATATCTGAAAGACAACTTTGTCAAGTATTTTTGGTTGGCAGTGTTTTCTTTCAGCACTATGAATATGTCACCCCACTCTCTTGGCTTGTTCGTTTTCTGCTGCAAAATTGCTGATAAGCCTTATGGAGTTTCCCTTCTGTGCAACTACTCTCTTTAACTTGCTCCTTTCAAAATTCTATGTTTATTTTTAATTCTTTGACAGTTTGATGTCATGTGTCTCAAAGAAGTCCTCTTTAGGTTGAAATTGTTTAGGGATCTTTTGAGCTATGTGTACCTGAATGTTCATCTCTCTCATGTTTTTTCTCCTTCAGCCATTTCTTTAAATTATCCCTCTTTCCTCTCCCTCTCTCTCCCTCCCTTCTGGGAATTCCATAATGCATTAATTAGTTCCCTTGATGGTATCCCATAAATCCCACAAGATTTCTTGATTTCTTTTTATTCATTTTTCTTTTTTCTCTTCCAAATGGATACTTTCAAATGACTTGTCTTTGAGTTCACAGGTTCTTTCTTCTGTTTGATCAAGCCTGTTGTTGACACTATTACATTTTCATTCCTTGTATTCTTCAGCTCCAGAATTACTCTTTGTTTTTTTTATGATGTCTGTCTCTTTGTTGAACTTCTCATTTTGTTCATGTAGTCTATTCCTGGTTTCATTATCTATGTTTTCTTGTACCTGCTGAGCTTCCTTAAAACATAATTATGTTGAATTTCTTTTCAGGAAATTTGTAAATCTCCATTTCTTTCAGGATGGTTAATAGAAAATTAATGTGTTTCTTTTTTGGTATCATGTTTCCCTGATTTTTCTTATTCCTTGAAGCCTTCCATTGCTATCCTTTATTCAAAGAAGCAGTCACCTCCTCCAGTCTTTACTGACTGGCTTCGGGAGAGAAACACCTTTACCAGTCAGCCTATTTACAAATTCTGAGGCTCTCTCAGACCTTTTCTATGTATGCTCCTGCTCCACACCATTGTTCCCTTTGGGGGGGAATTCTTAAGATTGTGTGCTTTCTCTCAATCTCACAAAGCTAGGGCAGGTACTGACTGATAATCTCTCTTCTATTTTCCCTAGGGTGGTGCCCTGAAATGCTTGAGTTGTGTGACTTCTCCTGATCCTGAAGAGGTTGTCTGGTTTTCTGTGCATGATTGTAAGCCATTTGCAAAGCCTCGCAATTCACCGTACATGGGAGCCTGCATGGTGATGCAGCTACAGGGAGGGTGGGTAAGGCATGCAGAGCATTCGGGGTGTCTATGGGCCAGTAGGAAGAGGAGGCCACAGGAAGATGTTCCCAGATGCTCATGGGCAGGCTTCCTGATGGAGTCTACAAAGTGGTTAGTCGGATCTGTGGCCCTCTGTTGATTCCAGTGCTTTGGATGCTATGAGTAACCACCTCTCTTTCCTGCTCCCAGCCTCTCCCATCCACTCCGCCAGGCTGATCACCTCAGTATTCTGAGTAGGATAAAAAGTGGGCTTCTGGGGCCATGCCCCACCTAACTAGGAAAGTAAGGTGATCACTTACTATGCTCTCACTTTCCCCCGAGGTAGAAATTACAGGTTGAGGGGTCTCTCTTGGCACTGAGCTGTGCCACTTTTGGGGAGAAATAACAGGTAAAGTGAAATTGTTCTTGTTACCCTCTTCAAAGCATCCATTCTCAGATTTTGTGCTGGAAGGTGGTTGTCACAATCAATGCTTCTGTGAAGAGATGATGGTAGAAAACTCCTCTTCCATTGTCTTGCTTGCCACTCTTCAGGCCCAGACATTTTTACAATCAAGTGTGAGCAAATCTTTAAAGAAAGGTTAATCTCTACATTAACTTTTTCAAAGTGTACAAATAGTGTAAAGGTTACCTGACTCATTCTGTAAAGCTAGACTAATCTTTATACCAAAACTAGTCAAGGATATTACAAGAAAAAAAAATCATAGACAAATCTCATATATATACAAAGAATCAAAGATGTCCAAAAAACTATCAGAAACAATAAACAAATAAAGTCTCAGGATACAAAATCAATGTATAAAAATCTATTGCTTTCCTATATACTAACAATGAAATTTCAGAAAAAGAAATGAAAAAACAATTCCTCTTGCAACTGCAACAAAAAGAATAAAATACCTAGGAATAAACTTAACAAAGGATGTGAAGGGCCTATCCACAGAAAACTACAAGACATTATTAAAAGAAACTGAAGAAGACACAAAGAAATTAAGATATTCTGTGTTCATGGATTGGAAGAATCAACATAGTTAAAATAGCCATATTACCCAAAATAATATATAGATTTAAAGCAATAACCATCAAAATACCAATGCCATTTTTTAAAGAAATAGAACAAAAAATCATCAGATTTATATGAAATCACGTAAGACCCCAAACAGCCAAAGCAATCCTAAGAAAAAAAAACAAGGCTGGAGGTATCACACTCGCTGATTTCAATTTATACTACAAAGCAACAATAATCAAAACAGCATGGTATTGGTAGAAAAACAGGCACATAGACCAATGGAATATAACTGAGAACCCAGAAATAAACCCACATATATATGGGCAGATAATTTTTGACAAAGAAGCCAAAAACATACAATGGAGAAAAGAAAGCCTCTTCAATAAACCATGCTGGGAAAACTTAGAAGCCGGTTGCAAAAGAATAAAAATGTGAACATTTTTAAAGTTCTCATAAGAAAATTTCCACAGATAGCCTATTCAAGCAATTTCATTCCCTGTCAACCAAATAAAAACAAGCACTTCAGCATAAATGGTACAAGTTTTTCAAGAAGCTGATGATATACCCTAAGAAGCACTGGGAACAGAATTACCATACACCCCAGCAATCCCTCTTCTGGGTATCTACCCCCAAAATCTGAAAACATTTATCTGTAAAGATATATGTATCACTATATGGTACATATATCATTGCAGCATTATTCACAGTGGCCAAGACATGGAAACAACCGAAGTGTCCTTCAATAGATGACTGGATATGGACTACACATTTTATATTACTATTTGTATCAATATTAAATATCCTGATAATAACTATATTGTGATGATGTTAGAGGATGTCCCTTTTCTTAGGAGATACATACTAAAATATTTAGCAGTAAAGTATTAGGATGTCTAAAACTCACTCTCATGTATAAAAGCAGGGCTAGGGGGGAGAACATGACTACAATACATAATTGGTAAATCTAAGGTAACCGGTGAATCTAGAGGAAGGGATATAGGTGTTACTATATTTTATATTACTCATGTAACTTGTCTATACATTTGAAATTTTTCAAAATAAAAAGTAGATAAAAGAAGTAAGATTATTTTTTAAAGGATTATATAAAAAAAATTATCCCCAAACCAAATATTTGTCATCTGTCAATCACTTGTGGTTATGAGAGCCATAACTTCACACTGTATTCCTTTTCCTCTTCTTTCATTCTCTCTCACATCTCTTCTTATCAGGCTTTCACTCCCACCACTCTATCTAAACTGCTCTTAACAAGATCTCCATTCTTACTCAACAGTACCAGACATACTTGATTATTCATTCCATCCTCTAAATGTTTTCTTTGCTTGGTCTCCAAGATACTAATGTTTCATTTCTCCACCTACCTCACTGGCCACAACTTTTCCAATTCTTTTGACTGATTCTCCTCTTCCTTCTATTTTTTAAGCAGTACAGTTCCCCAGTACTCTATCTTCATCTCACTTCTCCATCTACAGTAACTCCTTTACTATTCACATCTAACCCCATAGCTTTAAATACCATCTGAATGCTAATGATTTCCAAATTTATGTCTCTGGCCCCCAAATCTCCCCAGAACTCCATATTCACATAGCCATCTGCCTACCTGACATCTTCACTTGAACATCTAAAAGTAATTTCAAATTTAACATGTCCAAAATTGAATTCTTTGATTTCCTCCCCAAAACATACTCCTTCCCAAACTTCCACATCTTGGTAAATGGCAACTACATCCTTACAGTTATTAAGGTCAAAAACCCTGGAGTCATCTTCAATTCCCTTTTGTCTATTCTATATACTATCAGCCAATCCTGTCAGCTCTAATGTCAAAATATATACAGCACCTTATAGGTTCTTATCACTCCAGTGAACACCTGAGAACAAGCTATTATGTTTTTCCCTGAACTGCTATAACCTTCTAACAGGTCTCCCTGCTTCTGCCCTTGCCCCACCATCGTACTAGTCTCAGCAAAGCAGCCCAGAATACTACAATTAAAATTAAATAAGGACATGTCCCTTCTCTTTCCAAAGGCCTTTAGTTGCTTCCTGGCTCATTCAATAAGAGCTAACACCCTGACATGGCCTACAAGGCCTTACAATATTCATTCCTGTGCTGCTGCTCCCGGCTCATCTCCTTTTATTGCCCTCACTGCCACACATTACACTATCATCAAACTGTATGCCTTACTATTCCTGAATAAGACAAGCACAGTCTGCATGTAAAAGAAGAAAACAAAATACAGATAAAACTCATGAATTAATCAGATTTAACGGGCTGGAGTCTGAGCATAATGACAAAGTGAGGCCAAAAAGGAAGAAGGGAAACACTAATAGTTGTAGAAACTAAGGTGATGTATCATCAAAGTAATATTTGTAACAGTGGGAAATAAAGAAAGAAAATTAACATACAAATATAATAGTGATCAAAGTAAAAATACCATGCATAAAAAAATGGAAAATATATTAACCATTTACAGTGGTTATTTCTAGATGTATTATTATGAGTGCTTTTTCTTTCTTCTTCAAACATCCGTTGTGTTTTCAGAGGTTTAAGCTTTGTTAGGGCTGGTTTATTTCAATTTTATCCATACTCCTATAGTTTGGTCCTTGCTCCAAGGCCATGGCCCTTACTTACAGTGTGTGGTCCTTTAGGGGGTCTCAACAGAAAACACAAAATATTTACCAGGGCCCCTATAACTTGCAAGTCCTTAGGTGGCTGGTGAAGTCTACTCAATTTTAAGCCTGCTAGCTGAACTCTTCTAATATTTCTAGTGTCTTGTGCAGCTCAAAAAAAGCTAAAATTCACTCAGTCACATAGGGGAAATTCGTACACAGATTAAGGTTCTAAATTTCTGGGGGGTTTTCCTCTCTGAGATTTTGCATCTTAATTTCCAGCCTCCCTGGGAATTCCAAGTTCCAACCCTTTTTTCCTCAGCCCTAAAAGACTACCACTTCTTGTTTAGGACCTATTGCACCACATCACAGAAACCTGAAAAATTCTCTGTGGGGGAAAAGCCGAAGCACACATGAAATCTCCTTGTGCATTCTGTCTTTCAAAAACCACAGCCGCTCAAGATTCTGCCTACAATGACTGCTCTTCAGTACCTGCAGACATTTTAATATTTTCTTCAGATTTTAGAAATGTTATTCTGGGCCATCAATCTGCAGGAGGTTTGTATACTGAATTCATTCCAGGTACCTTTCTAAGATTTACATCCAAAAGACTGTTTCTCTGCTTCTATGGAGAAAGAGTGCTTCCAACAAATATGGCTGCTCTGGGTGATTCTTTACAGCCATATGTCCTTTGTTTTCCTGAAAAAAATTGAATCCAGGTAAGGATTCTTCTGCTAGCAAAGGATTCCCCAATTTCCTTTACAACTATTATAAATAGGGACATGACTTCTGATTTAAGATGAGTCCTTTGTTATCAGGAAGTGCATTACTTTGCTGGTATTTTCTGAGGCACTCTATTTCTGGATCCCTAGGCACTCTACCTCCTCTTCTCACCTCACCTCCATGCAGCCTCTGCCCAACTTCAGCTCTTATAAGCCCCCTTATTGACCAAAGTTATAAATCAGGAGTATTGTTTTTGCAGTTCGAGGAAGCCATTCACATTCAGAAAATGTATTAGCACTTTCTGAAATAATATGCTTTCTTGATCCTGCTCTAGATACTTCCTTTTAATTTTCCCACACAACTTCTATCTCATTGGGATGCTTCTGGCAGTCTTTACTTAAAAACTTGAGGTGGCAGATTATTTGTTGCAAAGGTTTACTAACTCAGGATTTTCAAGTTTTCTTTCTCCATATCCTCGTGTCTTTGGCATTTTACAAAAAAGAAGACAGGGAAGAAAAAGAAGTATGCTGGTCATGCATTCATATCAGAATCTCCTCTGTTATATTCTTACTATGCCTCAATAACAAATTTTGTCTTTGAAAGCATACCAGTCATTTACTAATAATTCTCAGCTCCAAATCTACCCTTCTAAGCACTGATTCTGAGGCTGGGGTATGCACTCTTTGTTCACAAGCTCCTTAGTCAGCTGGGGGCATTAGAAAGATACTAAGGAGAAGGAGGTAAGAAGTGTTTCTTGCTGTTCCTGTAAATGATTCTCCACCAGAGAAAATTGCTTTCAGCCTCCAGTTGCTTTTGGCATTCCCAGAAGCTGCCTCACTGCCTGTCTTCATTCATACCAGTAGCAGCCATGTGATCCCTCTTCAGATGTTTGAGCTCCAGTGTCTCTCAAGATCCATCTTCCAGTTCCTGGGTTCTGGTATCCTCAACCTAATATCTTTTGTATCCCCCAGCCATAAGAGTGTAGACGGCTTTCTGAAGTTATTATTCTGGGTTATAACAGTATTTCCTTTTTTTTCTTTTACTCTTCAACTTGTGTGTAAATAATTCCCCATATTTAATTCTACCTCATAAAGTGACTCATAGGTTTCTCTTTTCCTGACTAAACCCTAACTTACCAAGTTACTCTGATGCTTATACAGCCTCTGGCAAAAAAAATTATTTCCAGTACCATAAGCTATCATAGTTATACAATACCTTGAATTTTTATTTTAAAATAATAAATTTTGAAAAATAAAATCACAATCTTGTAATAATACATATTTATTACCTTTTAAAAAAAGCATGACAGTAAAGAATTTGTTTTAATCACTCACAATCCGAACATGCAGAAACAAAAAATGTTAACATTTTGCTATATTTATATCCTGTCTCTCTTCAGAGATTTCTTTTAATTATCAAATTTGTGATCCAAATACGAGTATATATCTATTTTATACACTATCTTTTCATCCTCACTTGGACATATATAAAAAAATGACAGATTTTTAATCACTAACTCCTATCTTACTAAGCACTATTCTCAAAATAGTACATCATTTTCTAAAAATGCTGCATGCATAATTGTTTTTATAAAATTCATAATGGAGGTTACCTTTCCAGTATACAGGAAAACAGATTAAAGTTATTAGTATGTTAAGAAAAAATTACGTCCTCAGAATTATATATCATGAAGCAAGTATATTTTTGGCAGTAAAACATGTCAATAGCATATTTTATACTATGAACAAAAATATAAAAGCTTCCCTCTGCAACGTACAAAATTTGTAAATAAATTTAGTAAGGCCAACTACTCACCCCCTGTTACTAACAATTGCCTTTTTCAAGTGAATGTAATTTGCAGGAAAGATCCCCTGTAAAAGAGAAAAGATTTCCCATTAGAAAAAGTAATTTGTGAATAACATCTCATATATATTAAAATAGCAGTCAGATTTCAGCATGGAAATACTCTATCAACAACATAGTAGGTCTCTTGATGGAGCAGCCACTTTGCTAATTAAGAATGCAAAGTTGCACAAATTAAATAAACATTAAATAAAATTTTCAACGTCATTTGCAATCAGAGTATCCTCAGGGGAAAAGTGTGATCTTCAACAACTACAGACAAAATATTTTTTAAGTTAGAGATTGAAAATGTTCCATCAAATCACTCTCAGGATATAAACTTATGTACAGAGCCTGGCATGTATCTACAAGACCAACGATATCGTTTAACCAACAACTTAACAGATTATTCAGCTCTAAGCTGAAAAAACAATTCTCAGACTCTGGCTAAAATTTGTATTCACAAGAATTAATCAACTTGGGCACCTCCATATATATTTCTTCTTTTACTCTTTTCAAATGGTTTCTACTTTGGTATTTGCCATAATATGATTTCAATTCCCAAGGGATAAAAAATGTATTTTGTTTTAAAAAACAATTAAGTTTTCTAATCAATGTTTCACTCCTTTTCCTGAGGTATGAAACTCCTTTCAAGTAAAACACACATGACCAAAATTTCTTTATACTCTTTAGCCCACACCACTAACAATAATAAACTCAATCTATACCACACAAAGTCAGCAGCACTAAACCACAGTAATGCATTTTATAGTTTTCAGTGTATAGATCTTTCACCTCTTTGGTTAAATGTATGCCTTAATATTTTATTGTTTTTGATGCTAGTGTGAATTGGGCTGTTTTCTTTATTTCTTTTTCAGATATTTCATTGTTAGCATATAGAAACACAACTAAATTCTGTGTGTTAATTTTCTATCCTGTAATATTACTGAATTTGTTGATTAGTTCTAACAGGTTTTCTTGGTGGAATCTTTAGGATTTTGCACATATAATAATATCATACTATCCGCAAACAAAATTTTACTTATTCCTGTTACTGATTTCTAGTTTCATACCATTGTGGTTGGAAAAAATACCTGGTATAATTCAGCCTTCTTAAATTTGCCTTCTTATGGGACCTATCATATGATCTATTCTGAAGAAAGTTACATTTACAATAGAGAAGCCTGTGTATTCTGCCACTGATGGATGAAATGTTCTATATACACGTATATCTGTTAGGTACATTTGGTCTAAAGTATACTTCAAGTCCAGTGTAACTTGTTGATTTTCTGTCTGGATGATCTGTCCATTGATGAAAGTGGGGTATTAAAGTCTCCTGCTATTATTGTTTAGTTATCTATTTCTCCCTTCAGATCTGTTAGTATTTACTTAATATAATGCAGGCTCCATTTTGGGTGCATATAAATTTATGACTTTTATCTTCTTGATGAGTTGACCCTTTATCATTATATAATGACCTTCTCTGTCTCTAGTTACAGTTTTTGGCTTAAAGTCTATTTTGTCTGATATAAGTATAGCTTTACACACTCTCTTTGGTTTCCATATGCATGAACTACTTTATAATACTTATAAATACTTATAAAAACTTTAATAAGTCACCTTTTTATTTTTCTTTAATCACTAATAGCTGTGAAAAGCCTATTGAAATTTTTATTGTGACCATATTAAGACAAATAAAAGATGTATAGGAATTTTTTTATTATTTTAAATGTACTAAATCACTACATGATTATCTCTTACAAACACTAAAGAATTTTAACCATGGTTCTACAAAATATCACTGACACAGGAAATGAAATTCAGTTATTAATACTGTCTTTCTATCTCTTAATTTTTAAGTTTAAGAATACAAATGAAAGCTATTAAGAGGTATATAGATATGTATTGTTAATAAATGCTACAATAACCCAAGATTCTAGAATGGAGTTGGTATTACCAAAATATACTCTCAGAAGTATCACATTAGCCCAAAATAAAGAAATTAAAGGGGTGTGATTAGACAAAATGAGTTCTAACACTTTAAATTAGTATCATTTGGTTTCTATATTTTGATTAGCTTACCAAATCATTGCTAAGCTAATGAGATTGATCACAAGATTAATCACAAAATGGCCTCCCCCACAGATGCTACACACCTCTGTTGTAGGAAAAAGAATTTAGAAAATAGGTATGATTCTGAACACTTTTCCTTAACTTTAAAATAGAACTCTGATTATACTGCTGGAGAAGCTACATGGAGATCTTGAGACTGATTCCATGGAGAAGCCCAGATATTTCAGCAGCCTAGCTGAGGACAGCCTTCCAGCCATCTCTGCCAAGATGCCAGACATGTAGGTGAACATTCTTGGATATTCCAGCCAGCTGAGCCCTCAAAGACTGTAGCCACAGGTGACATAACATGTACCTGAATAATTGCCCAGATGACCCCAGTCAAGACACAAAATCATGAGAGATAAAATGGCAATTAGTTTCATCCACTATATTTTGGGGCACATTGCTGTACAGTAGTAGGCGATTAGCAGACATCTGATCCTGTCCAAAGCATCCATGGAGACCTTTGGTCCACATCAAAAGTTCCTTTGTGTTTGTTCCTGTCCACAATTATTGGACCAACAAAACATGGTAATATTTATGTATTAATCCTCTTAAACTATAAGTATAAATAAACGTTATGGGCTATTTGAACCCAGTGATGCTTGCTAAGCATGGACTTTTTGACAAAAACTTTTATCAAAGATCTTATCAAATGGCTCAGTGGACGTTTTGGACAGGACCAAATGTTCTGCAAGGTAACATAATATATCAAGGGTTTCATCATTCATGTCTCACTCAAGAAGGTCTTCAAGCCACAGGCTGCGCATCGATTTGATATTTTAATCACAAACATACAATTTCAATGACCATTATCTCCATACTAATCCTCAAATACTACTATTGGAAACAAGGTTATGGGGTGGCCAAGATAAAAAATATTACTAAAAATAAATAAATAGCATATAATATCACAAATTATAGTTTTCCAATCCTTTACAAGATTGCTCATTTATTCAAGTTCTAAATTTTTGAAATTTAAAATCAAAATAAAAAACATAAAATACAAATAAAAACTATGTCATTATAAGCATTCCCAAGATAGAAATAACACCTGAAAGTGTGTTTTAAAGTTAGCAATATAAGGAGAAAAGTTACCTATGAGCAGTGGTTCTCAACCAGAGGCAATTTACCACCACCACCCCAGGGCCTTTGGCAATGTCTAGAAACATTTCTCATTGTCACAACTTGGATGGGGGGTAGGGGAGAATGTGACTTATATCTAGTGAGTAGAGGTAATATATGCTGCTAAGCAACTTATAATGCACAAGACTTCCCCCCACAACAAAGAATTACCTCTCTCAAAATGTCAAAAATGCTAGGATGAAACGCCCTGGCTATGAAGAATTAAAATTTGAAAATACTGTCTTCTTATAATCATTTACCTTAAAAACTAATAAAATAAATTATTCTACTGGCAAAATTGATAGCTAGAACTCTGAACAATTTGCTTTTTAAAAATAATACATGATAATTTTGATATTTTTCTATAAAACAAAAAGCATAATACATTAAATATTACGCTACAGAAAATATATAAGAAAGGCAGATACTATTAATTATATGAAAGTATAACCAGGAAGTTTTTGCAAATGTATTATTGGAGAAGAACGCTCCTAAGTGTTTTATAACTGCTAATTAAAGTATATTTTGTTTGATCAGATTAATATTAATTAACAGAACACATAGAATCTAGTTCAAAAAATTAGTATTCTGCACTTATGTCTTGTGTAAATTCATAATTTAAGAAGAACATGATCAGCAAAAATGCACCTAATTGAATATTACTTGAAAGTTTTTTTTGTTTGTACTTTACAAATTCTCTAACATATGGCTCCACATTACTAAGTCTAAGAATAAGTCGATTTACTTTTTCAACTATTTGAAGGAAAAAATATTAAATGTCCTAAATAGGCTTTTTCAAAAAGCTTTGCAGCTATGACCATACATGCATTTTTTTGTCCCTCAAAAAAAAAAACAACAACATTCTAATATTGCTGAGACAGAGCAGAGACTAATACAATTCTGTAAAGGAAAAAATGAGTGTGGCTATTGTAAAAGATTAAATGATGGGCAAGTAAGAATTCTTTTTATATCAAACAAACAACCTAGGCAGCTTCCTAAATTAGAAAAGGTAATACAATTTTTCAATACCTTTACATTTGGCTTCTTTGTTGAAACTCCTCTGTACCAACCTAAAACAAAGCATAGGAAGGATATTAAAATCATGTTGCTGAAAAATAATATTGTTGTAATTTTCTGTAAGAGACATGGCTATTGTTAGGGAAAAAATAATTAATGTAAAAGTTTCTAATAAAGGTACATTAACTGTGCCTTCACTAATAGTAATTCACTCCAAAAGGAACCGTCTTACGATAAACACAACATTCCCAATTTCATCAAAAAGCACAAAGCCCTTTCAGTTGAATAAGACACAGAAATTAGAAAAGTCCTCAGAGGACATGTAATCCAAATCCATTGTTAGGGGCAGGAAAATGCCAAAATCATATAGCTTCTTTGATGGCAGATGGGCAGTACAGCCCAGACTTGCTGTTTTCTGGTCTCATTCAATATCCCATGCACTAAACAACACTAGTCTCATTTCTTGGCTTTCCAGCAGCTAAACTTGACATCCATGTTTCATTTGTTTTTTCTAAGCATTCATACACAGCAATAATGATGACAGCTTCAATTACACAATAACAACAATTTTAAGAGCAAGGGAATTTCATTGCCAACTTTTCTCAATTCCAATCTATTATTTTCAGGGTTTTGCTATAGTTTCTTGGCTTCGGTTTTAGAGCAAACAGCTCCAGTGAGTAGGAAGGGAAACCAAGAGTTGTATTTAAAAGAGGAAGCTGAAGAAGAGAACAAAGAGGATATTATTAATAGCTAATGTTAATTGAGAGCTTATTACTCTTAATTCCATGTATTAGAATTAGAAGGTTGTTGCATGTATTAACCTTTAAATCTCACAACAAAGCTATGAGGAAAAAAATAAAATTTTTCTCCCCTGAAATCATAATGAACAATTAGAGGAGAAATATCCTTTCTTCTGTTCAGCACAACAACTGAAATCATAAATTTGAATAACTCAACTTACACCTTGACAGTCTCAATATCTTCATTCATTAAAAAGAAAAAAGTGATCATTTTACCATTGTGAAACTTTACAGTACATTAAAAAACAGAATAGAGAATGACAGCACAGATATGGCAAAGTAAGAACCTCCAAAAAGCTTCTCCTCAGTAAAAGCATTAAAAACATTGCTGGGGGGCCAGCCGAGTGGCATGTTGGTTAAGAGTTGGCTTGGGAACATGAGCTCTGAGCAGCAGGAACGCCGGTTCGGATCCCGCATGGGCCAGTGACGCTGCACCCTCTACAGCTCAACCTGGAGATGGGCTGCCATGAGTCGCCGGCGACAGCGTAGGCTGCAGCGCCTGCTGCAGTGGGCTGCCGTAAGCTACCATGTGTAGCTGGCAGCCAGCGTGAGCGGCAGGCAGCCGGTGTGAGCTGCCAAGAGCTGCCGTGAGCAGCCATCCAGAGGCCAGCGACCGATCTGACTAACCCAGGAAGAGCACAATGATAATACCAACATGGGCCAGTGAAGCGACATCCTCCACAACTAGACTGAAGAACAAAAGGACAGCAACTTGTCTGTTCCCCTTCCCCCGATTCCCCAGCGCTATTCCCCTCCCACAATTCCCCAATAAAATCTTTAAAAAAAAAAGATATATGTATCCCTATGTTCACTGCAGCATTATTCACAGTGGCCAAGCCATGGAAACAACCAAAGTGTCCTTCAATAGATCATTAGATAAAGACTGGTACGTACATACAATAGAATATTACTTGGCCATAATAAAGGATGAAATATTGCAACAACATGGATAGATCTTGAGATTATCATGCTGAGAGAAATTAGTCAGACAGAACAAGTCGAGAACCATATAACTTCACTCATATGAGGGATATAAAACTGAAAGCAACAAAGGAACAAGACAAAAAATAAAAAATTCATAGACACAGACAACAACCTAGTGGTTACCAGAGGGTAAGCAGGGAGGAGGGATGGTAGAAGAGGGTAATGAGGGACAAATATATGGTGAGGAAAGGGGAATGACTCTGGATAGTGAACATATAATGCAATATGTTGATGATATATTATATAATTGTATACTTGAAACCTATGTAGTTTTGTTAACTATTGTCACCTCAATAAATTTTAATTAAAAAAAAAAGAACCCTGGACAATCTACCTTTGCAAAGATCATTCTCTCCTTTTATTCTCATCACTTATCTTTTATTTTACAAGATTTCACAGTGCTGGCACACAAAGTGAAACCCCTTTGACTGTCAGATGCCTGAATCCTCATCAATTTCACTGTCATCATATGCCTTTAATTGAAAAGTACTATCAGTCTTTCCCATCTGATGATGCACCATCTGATGGTTTGATCATTGTTAGGAGCTTCAGTAAGTCAGATATATTTTTATACTTTCTAATATTTTCAGATACAAATTTTTGTGGAAAATTGGATGAGAAAAGGAAGGCATTATTACAACTCTCAAGTTTATTATTTACTACAGAGACTGCTCCCTTCAGGGAGTCAATTATCATGCACAAGCAGACCTCAGAGATATTGCAGGTTCGGTTCCAGACAACTACAATAAGGCAAATATTGCAATAAAGCGAGTCACACAAATTTTGTGGTTTCCTAGTGCATATAAAAGTTATCTTCACACTATACTGAAGCCTAATAAGTGTGCAATAGCATTATATCTATAAAAAAAAATGGGGCCAGCCAAGTGGCACGATGGTTAAGAACTGGCTTGGGATGCCAGAGGGCCCCGGTTCGGATCCCACATATGAGGGCCAGTGACACTGCCCTCTACAGCTAAATGCTGAACAACAACAACAGCTCAACCTGGAGCTGAGCTGCCGTGAGTTGCTGGCGACAGCGTAGGCTGCAGCCCCTGTGGCAGTGGGTTGCCATGGGCTACCGTATGTAGCCAGCAGCCAGCATGAGCGGCCAGCAGCCGCAGTGAGTGGCCATCCAGAAGCCAGCGACTGATCTGCCTCACCCGGGAAGAACGCAATGATGGTGCCAATTTGGGCCAGTGAAGCAACGTCCTCCACAACTAGACTGAAGAACAAAACAACAGCAACTTGTCTGTTCCCCTTCCCCTAATTCCCCAGCGCTGTTCCCATCCCCCCAATTTCCCAATAAAAAAAAAAATCTTAAAAAAAAATGTACATACCTTAATTTAAAAATACTATTCTAACCATCATCTGAGCCTTCACAGGGTCATAATCTTTTTGCTGGTGGAGGGTCTTGCCCCAGTAACATCAAAGACCACTGATCACTGATCAACATAGCAAAAACAATAATAATGAAAAAAGTGTGAAATATTGCAAGAATTACCAAATGTGACACAGAGACAGAAAGTGAGCAAATGCTGTTGGAAAAATGGTGCCAACAGATTTGCTTAATGCAGGTTGCCACAAACCGTCAATTTGTAGAAAATGCAGTATCTGCAAAGCACAATAAAACAAGGTATGGCTGTATACCTTTGCCTTACGTCATAATATCATGAATGGATTCTAAGAAATACTAAACAAGTGTAGCCTCCAGACACCCCAATTTTCCCTTCCTCAATAATTTGCTGCAACTCTCTACCTTCTAAGCTAGGGGCATGTTATTCACAGGACTACTGTGGGAGACATATTCTTCCACTTTACCCACACGTCTGGTGGAAACTTTAGAATGCAAAATTACTGAGAAAAGTTTGGGTGTTGTCTTCAAATTCCAAAAGCAAAGTATAACTCTTTGAGCCTGAGTTATTCCTCTGCTCAAAACTGTCTAATGGCATCCCATCTCAATGTGAAGTCCCAAGTCCTTACTACAACTTCTGCTGATCATCTCCCACCTCTCTCAGCTCCTCTCCAATCAACTGCTCTGCTACAGCCATACTATCACCCTGCAGTTCCTTCAACTCACTAAACAAGCTCCTGTACCTCAGGGCCTTTATATATTTTGCACATATGCCTGGACTGCTCTTCTCCCAGAGAACCATAGGAAGGCTTCCTCACTTCCATCTGTTCTCTGCCCAAATGTTATCTGCTCAGAAAGGCCTTGCATAATTATCCTACATAAATACACAGAAGACAGAGGCCCCCCGCCCATCACACCCCAATGCATGCAGTCACTCTATCTCCTTCTACCTATTTTATCCTTCCTTATTATTCTTCTCCATAAGAATACGGACTTTGTTTTATTCTTGTATAGCTGAGCCCCGGTAGCTAAAAGAGTGCCTGACCTGCAGTAGGCACTCAAATATTTGGTGACTGAAAGAATGAATGAATCTGTAATATATGGGGCGATAATACCTACTTGGCAAGTTTGTTGATAAAATTAGAATTGATATATATAAAGTGCCTTGCACAATGTCTGACATTGTAATAACTCAATTATCAGAGGGGGCAGGTAACTGAGGAACAAGACACACTAAAACGCTATGTGCTACATAATACTGTGAGACTGGGCTTATGAAATAAAGTACAGCCTGAAGTTTCTTAATATAAATGGTGTTCATTCTAAGAAACATTAGGGAACCAAAAGTACATACTCCTAAACAGCTCTGTTAAATCATTTTTTGAAAAATTATTTATAGGGATATAAATAAAAAACACTTTTTCCCACCTAACAAAGGTTGAACTTAGTGCACAAATTAATATCCATGTGTTCCTTTCTCACCAGCAAAATGTTGATACAGTCTTACAGAGATTTACTACTGCAACAGTAAGTAAAATCACTGAATCAAAAATGAAGTGAATGAAGAGCCTCCAAACTCATGGAAAATGAGTAATTCTTCCAACATTAAACAGGAATGATTTTTTTCACCATATAATCCATCCATAAATAGTGATAACTGATAGGGCCTAAACTATCTGCATGACAAATATGACTGTAGCCACCAACTCCTTTATTCTTAAAAAGCCACCACTGAATCTCATGCTAAAAACCATAGCTCTGTTTCAACTGACTTTACTTTTAACTCATCTTCAGACAAAATACTATCTAGAGCTATCCATCTACTGGTGGTCTTCCTACTCATGACTTAAAGCAAGACTTCTACCAAAATAAACAATGTGTAGAAAGCAAATTAGGATTAGGAGAGTTAAATAACCCA